CATACATACATACATACATACATACATACATTGACATTCCACGCACATGCATGCATGCAAGCATATGCTATCAAATGGACAACTGACCAACACAACAACAACAACATCATCGTCGTCGTCATCATCATAAAGAACAACATCATCATCTTTCTTGGATACAACTATTAAAGTTGGTTATCATAGTTTGGCCTAAATGCCTAAATGTTTTGTAAAAATTTTGAAGTTTTTCCAAAAACCAAAAATTCATTTTCTCAATATTTTTTTTAAAATAATTTATAAACAAATTCTTTTCAGTTTAATGATGATGCAAGTTTTGACTGCAGATAGATAGATTTCGTTCATTTGCCTGTTAACAAAAACGAATTTTAATTTAATTCTTGTAAATTTTGATTAATGAAATACAAATAATAAATATCAATGAATTAAATAAACTATTTTTTAATTGAAATTTATTTAAAAATACCGAAATGTGAGTTACGAAAAGGTATCAGACGATTCAGTGGAATGCATTGACGTAATAAAGTGAGACATTTTACTTTTATTTTAAATCATAAATACACGCCACACACAGACTGACGAACACACACAAAAATAGAGAAAGAGAGAGAGAGAAAGAGAGAGAGAGAGAGAGAGAAAGAGAGAGAGAGAGAGAGAGAGAGAGAGAAAGTTACAAGAACATATAAACCATTACATAATATTCTGAAAGAAGCATTTGTCACCATTCTTTGTTTGCATTTCGTGTTTGTGTAGTTTGTATACAATTTTGTGTGCACACACGTACACATAACATATTCACATACATGAGAGCATACAAACACACACACACACACATACATGCTCACATACATGCACACATACGTGCACACATACGTGCACATATGTAGTTAAAACAGCAGTTAAATGTCAATAAGACTACAAAAAACAAACAAACGAAATTGAAAAAAGAATGTTATTAAAGTGGAGGCTCCATCAGAAACCATACAAGGATCGTAAAGGCACCATTTACACCTTTTAATGTGGTAGATTGAATAAATTTGGGTTATACCGTTTTGTTGTGTATTTTTTGTATTGTATATACATATGTATGTGTGTATGTATGCGCGTATATATATATATATATATATATATGTGTGTGTGTGTGTGAATGTATGTTTGTATGGGTGTGTGAATGTACGTGTTTACATTTTCAAAAAGATTTTGTAATTTGACAGATGTTAAACTCGAGGCATTAGTTAGTTGAGGCTTTTTTTTCGTTTTTAAAAAATTTCTCTTCGCAGTTTGTTTTGTTTGTTTGAATGTTGCTTGTTTGGTTTGTTTGCAGTTTGTTTTGTTTGTTTTGTTTGTTTGCAGTCTTTTTGTATGTTTGTTTTGTATGTTTGTTGTTTGTTTGTTTGTTGTTTTATTAATTTTTCTGATTATACAATTTTTATTATCATGCGACGCTATTCTCCACAAAAGCGTTCCCAGAAATTTTGTTCTGTCAGATAAAAAAAATGACTTTTTAACATAATTTAGAAAAAAATCTTTTTCCCTCTCGAAATCTAGAAACAACAACGACAACGACGACGATGACGTCATCATCGAATACAACAAAACAGCTGCAACAACAACAACATCAACGACAAACAAACACCACAACAACAACATCAACAAACACCACAACAACATCAACAAACACCACAACAACATCAACAAACACTGCAAACA